AAAAGAAATTTTAAACCATAATTAGTCATGTAATAGAAACTCAATACATTCTTTTTACATTGGGATATTCTTACAAATTGACCAGGTGTTAGCATAGGACTGAGAGGCTGTTACTTCCCTGACATGGACCAGAGAAGCCAAAATTGCCAGAGGCTCTACTATATAGGAAAGGAACTATCCAGATGCTGCTAGAGCCCAGAGGACATGAAGCAATGGGTATCTTTTGGTGAAACTAGGTTAGGTCCCACAGCACTGCCTTGGGAGCAGAAATACAGTCAGTTCTTACCAGATTTCATATAATTCCTGATTTTACCCATCCCAACATCAAATGGGGCAGAAGAGACAAAAGCTATGAGTTTTTGCCCCATCAAGCTCTACAGACTGGTATTTTAAAATTGTTATATATTTACCTGGTATTTGGAGCTTTAAAAAAAAACTTTTCCCTCAAATTAACAAATAATTATTTTTACTCCTTTTAGGAATTCAAAACTATTCTAAAAGTGGATAATTAATTAAAATAGATAAATAAATGAAAGACTAAACAGGAAAAAAAACAAATTGATTAAGTGAGGTTGTAACACTTTTTCTTCCCCATTTTTATTTTTCTTTGTTTTACTGTTAACTGTACCTTTACCAAAGAGTACTACCTAGAGGATAAATTAAAGTAAAATGAAAACATATTTTTTCTCCTCACTTATAATCATGAGTAGAAAAAAGAAAGTAATGGTTAAAGTGAGTTTTTAGTTGCCTGTGTTCATTAAATTTTTAAAGAAATAGTTCTTCATATTATGTTGTTTGGCTAACCTGATTTTATAGATAAATAAACTGTGAAACAAGAAGGCAAATTATTCAGTCAACCTGAAAGGATAAAGGAAGACAAGAGGGGGCTCAGGAGGTATCTATCCATGGTGGAAGAACACCTTTTAAACCTTTTCCTTTAGAACTTTTCCTCCTAGGTGGGAAGCCCATTGGAATCAAGGGAAATGTAAGGTGGGTAAGTGGGGAGTAATATTAGTCTTTAAATGAAGAAGCTTTCTGTGGGTGTGGATAGGATAACGAGGGAACAAGAATTAGCTCTCCTGATCTTCTGCATACTTCAGTACATTTTCTTAGTTAATCAATAACGGACAAGGTTTCCCATTTATCTCTCACATCATTGCTCTACATTAGTAAATTACCCGTCTTTTGATTTGTTTGAACATTCTTCCTTATATCATCACCCATTTAGGGAATATTTTTGAATTTCAAAGTATGATGTTTAAGTATTTACAACAAAATTTAAATTTTGGTTGCTAATTTCCCCATTTGTCCTGGAAAGCTGATCTAAGAAGTTTTCATTTGCTAATATTTCCAATTGGCAGGCTCATGTTTTGTTTTAAAATTTTCATGTCAGTTCAAAAAGCACTTTATTTTTCTTCCTTTATGGTATTCAAATATAATTTTTTATTGAAATCCTGCCTTCATTTTCTAAAGTAGTTTCAAAAATACATCTTCTTGAAACATGTGCATATGCAGTCCATATAGATATGTAATTACCAAAATTCTACTTATCAATTTTGTATTATATAAAAAAAATGCTAAAAAAGAGAAAAGAAACAACTTTCTCCATTCCCTTTATATATCTTCATGTTATCATTCCATTAATGAGGATCAGCCTATACTCTCTGTAATTCAGTGTCTCTTCTAGACTCATCTTGCTTATTTCCTCTTACTCCTAGCAATTTCCCTGCCTCTGACAGAAACACAAATTCTCATTCTTTATACCCTTAAATTGCAAGAGTAAATGTTGAGGACCAATGCAGACACTCAGCTGTTTAAGGGGCCTGTGTCTTTTCAGTACAGTACTAATCAAGCAAAGAGTCATCATAACCTCAAACTAAACTGCTTTTGTAGTGATTTTATCACCAGGGAAGTTGTCCATCCTTCAGAAGGATTGTCACTAGGAAAGAAAAAATAAAAAGGGAGTTAAAATTGCTTTAGACCACTGACTTGTTAGGTCCCTCTAGATTCATGGCTTGAATTGGTTTTCCAGGGGAGGAGGTACAGAGGGATAGCTCTAAGAAAGCTCACAAATTGATGATAGTCTTGATAATACTAGTGGGTGTAAGTGTGATCACTATAGAAAAAAATATCAAATGTGGCTAAGAGAAGAGAAATAGGAAAGGAAGAAGACAATTAACATCTATTTTCTTTAGCTTATTGTATTTGGGATCCCCCCCCATACTAATTTAAGAATGGGCTTTCACAAAAAGGAACAAATATAATAGATTTTAAAATCTTTTAGTATGGTAAATGCAATTAGTAGCTGCTATTGTGGTATGTATTCATCTAAATCAAGGCCTAGAACAGAAGTTAATTGTTCAGTTGTCTGAAACAATGTGCAGTGTGAATGGAGCTAAGATGATGGGTGCTATAGAAATATAGACATACATAGGTATTTTGTAGACCAGTCCAGAAACCAGACACTTCTGGTTATGTCCTGTGTTAAAATTAGGCATATGCAGAACTGCTTTGTTTTGGGAAAAGCTCAGTCTGCCCAGAAATAGTGCTAAAATTGACATATGATGGGCAAATCCATTATGTGTGTGTAATACATATATATACATACAATATACATATAACTTTATACACACACACACACACACACACACACATTCTGTAATCACACCAGAGAAGGATTTGGGTCAGTTTAATTTTCAGATACAATAGGAAAAAAGTCAGACAAAATTATATGATTTATTTATAGTTTGCCCAAATTCAATCAGGTACATCTGGATTTACCCTGATGAGTATCCATGATTTAGTGGCCTCTAACCCATTGACAATGTAAAGATTTGCCCAAAATGAGCAGGCAAATCCAGAAGTGTCCTTGTTTCTGGATTAGTATACTCAGGTTGGTAAATATTTTTTGTAGTTATCTGGGAGTGTAAGAAGGGGTTCTCAGTCCCAATTCAAGTTCATTATGGGAAATGTTCAGAGGTGGGGAGTAGGTTATAGAGCTTTTGTGTAGGTACCTGTAAAGTTAAGGTTTTCGGCTCTACGCTTGTTCTAATAGGGCCTAACTCCCCATAGCTAAGTCATATACATAGACTGTAGCTTTCTGCTCTCTGGCCAACCGAAGCCATCACATCCTTATTGTTGTAACTCCCAGATTGTGATACTGTCACAAAACTGTTGCTAGGCAACAAATGTGGTTACCCGGTCTCCGCGAATAGCTGAAGGGGAAAGCAAAGTGTTGCAGCATTGTAGAGTAACCATAGCAATGACCTACTATTACAGACTAAAGAATTATCATTAACAATGTTAAAGTATCAAACAGAGGCTCTGAATTTGGAGTCTTCCAGGCAACATCTCTGCATAATTGGGTTATCTAAGAAGAAATTTAAACTCTTTCAAAGCTCATTATCTCTATGGGAGAGTGCTTTTAATTATTATTTTTATTTTTTAATAAAACAAATTTGCCAAGTAGTGATGGGATTTCTGCTAAGATGATGCAGGTAAATTGGGGTAATCCACCAAAACTACATGAATTTATCAGGTGAGAATCTTGATAAAAGTACTTTCCTTTCCTAGTCAATAATATTTCCTGCCTATGTTTGGTACATATGTAATCTGATTGCACCTAATTTAAAGCCAAAGAGAAGAGGGAATTGTAATTTTTGAAAAATAACATTAAAATTAAAAAAAACAAAAACCTTAAGTCCTGACAAATAAATATGGGTTTCCTAAATTGAGGTACGTGCGGATGTAGACAGAGCTTCTTTTTAAAAAAAAAGAAAGAAAAGAAAACTAAGTGGTTTACTGTCGGGTAGGAAGAACAAATTCCTAAAAACCTGACCCTGTAAAAAAGCTGTCAATACAATATCTGAGTACAGACCGAGGTGTGGTGTCCTATAGAGCCAGCTCTTCGACCGGCTTTCCTTCCTATATAGTCCGTACTTAGTGCAAAAAGAGACCAGAGGGAGCTCGGGTGGGAGTTCCTTCAGCAGCCGAGCTCCGGGACAGGCGAGAGCAGCCCTTTTTCTCTCAGGACAAGCGAGAACCGTGGCTTTTCTCCCTTTGCGGAAGCACGGGAACCTAGTTCCCGCCTGCAGGAGAAACCAGCCCCCAGCCGGAGGCTGTGGAGCCTGAGCTGAGGTGGGAGGTTTCCAAGCAGCCAGGGAGTTTCCTTTCCCGCCTGGCCGCTTGATTGGCCTGAGGGGGCGGGTCGGGGTAAGGGGCTGTCCTGCCCCCATCCTCGAACCACGTTCCCTCGGGGTCGGGGGGACTGAGGTGAAGCCAGGGGCCTGCCCCTGGAGGGTGGACTGGCCGAAGCATCGGGAGCAGCAGCAGCGCAGGAGCCTCCCTGGGTGTGGCAGGGTCCTTCTCCCCGCTCCGTTCCTAGTCTCAGATGGCTCCCCGGGCTCCTCCTCACTGGTCTCTCCGAGACCCTCATTTTGGTGGAAACCGTAACTCATCTCCCCAAGAGGACCGAATGACCAAATCCTCAGGAATTTGTGCTTTTTGTGGAGGTGGGACGGTTTCAGTCCTTCCCCACCCACCCCCATGCCAAGGGGAAGTTTGCGGGACACTGAAGTGCGTAGGATTTCGTCGGTGTTCAGAAAGCCTGACCTCCTTTTCCGGGTGGTCTCCTCTCCGGTGGCAGGGCGGGCAGTTGGGAAGGGGCGGGTGAGGAGGGAGGTGCTTGCCCCGGGAGGGCCTGCTCTGCGGCTGGCTTCGGGGGGGAGGGGAGGCAGGGGCTCCCAGCTGCTGGCAGGGATTAGGGGGAAGCAGCTCCGCGGCGCTTTGGCCGTAAGTCCGCAACCCGCTGGGCGCCGGGAGGGCGAACGCGTCCCTCCGCCGGGGTGGGCTCACTTGCCAGCCCGCCACTGACGCTGGGGCCGCGGTTCCCAGAACCCGCTCCCTGGCCCTGTGATGCTCGTTGGGGGCTTTTTTCTTTCTCTTTCTTTGTGAATTCTACGCAGGGAACTGACCGTAACCAAAATCTGTTTCTCTTGCAGGTACTGAACGTCACGAGCTCACTTCGTGGAAGAGTCTCCCATCTATTTTCAAATTCTTTACTGAAGCTTCGGAAGCAAAGAACAGTCCACTCAAAGCAGCTCTAACTCGACGCTCCCACAGGATAAAACACGAAGAGATTTAAGAGGAGCGAGAGAAAGAGGACACACAACCACACACATTCTGCATACACATGTACACACCCGCAGACACACCCGCAAGTTCACACAGGCATCCCTTAACTACTTATTTTCGGCAAGCAGACTCCCAGCCCCTCATTAGATTGTTTTCTTCCCAGAGCACAGGGTCGTGATGTATACATCTAAATAGCGTTTTGCATTATTTCTAGATGAGTGCAACTGTCAAAGCAATATGGGTTCACTGGTTGTGCTTCCTGTGGGCTGTAGCTTGGATTTCGTGCTGCCCATCAGTGCGCAGATTAAGGCTGACAGCGGTACTGCACAGTGCAGCGTGGTGCAGCTCTAATTGCCCTGACATAGCCCTGCACAGAGTTGATGGCAGAGCTTAATAGTTTCTTCATGGTCCTATCGCCTGCATTATTTTCTGCTGCTTTGGGGAAGTGTGTGTGTGTGTGTGTATAAAACATCACCTTTTTTTCTTTTCAACGGAAGCAAACTTTATTATTTTATAAACTTAAAATTTTAGGTAGATTTTTCTCCATGTATAATTACTTTAAATATCTCTGACAACATGTTATTGGTTTTACTTTGGGGATGAATTTTAAACTCTTTAAATTAATAGCACAAATGCTTTGCATTATGTAGATTTATAAATGTGAACTATACACTTATTAAAAACATTAAGAATCTATTCTTCCTTAAGAGACCAGAGAAAACTAGTTGAAAATCTGTCAGTTCCTAAGTCCACTTTATTCTACTAGAAGAACTTTGGACTTGAAAATAAAATTTCAATCAAATCTATATAGAGAAGTAAGGAAAAGAGAAAATTTGGAAATGTAAATGAAAACGAATGAATAATCCCTTGGGATGTATTTATTGTGTGTATGTATATGTGTATATATATATACACATATACATGTGTGTATACATATATATGTATGTGTTTATATGTGTGTACATGCATTTTTTGGTTTTCCGCTTTCACATGAAACCTGTCAACTTACCATTAAGATATTTACCTTGTTAGATATAATATGGTTTAATTGAATTCTAATTTAGGTTATGTACTTAAGTTTCACTTTTTAAACTTCATCTTGTTAGAAGTTTTTAATCCTCAAAGAAATAGTTTATTTTGAACTTTTATGGAACAGATGAATCTGACATTTTTTGAGACAGAATTTTTGGATGGCATCAAAAAAATTAATCTGTGCACTCAAGTCTTTTCCTTTTATAGGACTAAGTCAAGCCAATGCTATTCTTTTAGTCTACTTAGAGTTAAAAGAATACTGCTCTGACTGAAAAGTGAAGAATTGGAGTGAAGGATTTTCTCTTCTTGGTCCAATAGTATTATTTTTAGCTCTCCACTTTCTTTTGAGGATCTTCTCTAAAATCTGATCTGTAATCGGATCCAGTTGAGATCTTTACAACACTGTGAAATATCAGAACGAAAATAAGTCATGGTTTTTCTGATAATTCTGATTCAAATATTACATTGTAACATGCTGAGTTTATAATTGTTGTAAAAAGGTCCATTACCTAGTGAAGGTTCTGTTTATAATAGATGAAGGATGAATTTAATATTTTGTCACCTTTTTAAAAATATGCTACTATGGAAATATCTGTCTTATTTGATGACATCATGAAATGCACCACAAATGTCATAGGGCTAGCTGGCCAAAAAATCAATTGAAATCATCCACCTCATAATAAGCATTTATACATTATGTGCTCATATCAGCAAGTTTTGAAACTGCTAATGTCTGATACTGTGTCTGCAATGCACGAACACTAATTAATTCTCATGGTTTTGATGATGGCAAATTAAAGTGATCTTTTCTTCAGTGGTCATGTCTGCATATTCTCTGATGTTATTAGAGCAAAGACAAAGGAGGGGGGAGGGGAGAATCAAAATGGTATTTTATCCAACTGCTGTGTAGCTTCAAAACACACTGCCAACAGTGTCCAACACATTGGTCTGTGATATTGACCCTTTTTATCTGATACTTTGCAGTTTTTAGAATTAATGGAAGAACTCCAGAAAGTGGTGGCATCCTCCAGTTCGATGATTTTAAAAGTTAATATCAACTCAATATATTTTTTAAATGTTTTGAACTGTGTTACTTTTTCAACCTATGAAAATATTCACAGAAACCTGTAATTTTATTTTTTTTTCTTAAATAAAGCTTGTGGGGTGCTAAATTCCAAAAGCTCCTGCAGCCAAATTAGGGAAGAGTAATAGCTCTCTGTCAGTGTGTCATCCTAATCACTCTTGTCCTGCTCTTCTTCATTCTCACCTTCCTTTTGACTTGTAACTGGAGTCAATCACTGTATAATTGCCTTGAAGGCTGTAAAACCTTTGGGTTGTTGGAGTTTGTTTCAATATCTATGGAGAGCTATTTGAAAACTTTTGCTTCCTTAAGTAGGTGTGGGTTAGAGACTTGAAAAGGAAACAAGGCATCTGAACTGACCCAACTTCCTAACTTGTTGATTATGAATTTGTGGTGTAAATGTGATAATATTGTTCACCTCTTTTATCCCAGATCACAACCCAGTTATTCTATCCCACCTTCCTGGGCCAAGTAGCTGTTTCAGCTCTTAAGTCTTCCTTTGTTTGGGTTTTGTTAATTGGTTTAAATGGGAGGAGTTTTAAACTTAAAATGTGGTCTTTATATCATTAGTTATATACTTGGTTCCAAGAGTAACACTATGGAAAAATAGGAGCTGTTAGATCCTGTGTATTAAAACTAAGAAAGCATATGGTTTTGTGATGCTCTGAGTGCCTAACCCTGATATTTAGTACATCTTTACAAGATTTTAGTGGAAATACAAATATGCCTCTAATTGTGTTAACTACTCCTTCCTCAAGTTCCTCGTGCTCTGACCTCAGCTATACTATTGCTTATACAAAGAACTATAAATTATAGCAAGGGGATTGCCTATGAATTATATATTTCTACTTATGGTTTTAAAATAAAAGAGTTCCCCCTCCATATTCAGTGGTAGATTCCTTATGCTCTACTTACGTATTCACTATCTCTGTAGAGGTTAATAAAGCAATTACTGAATTTACACATCGCACATATTATATATGTGTATATACACATATACATGCACACAAATACATATATTTTGTTGAATTGGTAACTAAAATCAGTGATGATTTACTCTGGAACCTTCACAAGACAACATTTTTTTAAATGAGTCTATAGTTCTATATAACTAAAGTTATCTTATGTAGTTTAAATATCTAGGGATTTTAAAACTTAAGATACCGATCTGCCTTTTAAATTAGATGCTATTTGCATATAAATTTCTGCATTCCTCTTGAAAAGAGTTGGGGTGTGTATTGTGGGGGGAAGGGGGGCTTCCCAATGATTCAGAACTTGTGATTTGTTGGTTTATTGTATGCACTGAAAATATCTTTGGGATTGATAGAAAAAGTTAAGAAAAATTAATGTTGTGTTATAAAATCACACCTACAGTATTATGTAGTATTTTTGTGCATTTATATTTTTGGAGTATTTTGCTGCTTTTTCTTGGATAATCTCTATAAATATCCAAGGAGGACTTCAGGTAGCAAGGTGTATTATTTTTTATTAACATTGGTAATATTAGTGATTACAATTAATGGATGTCAGATGAAGTCATCGGGGAGATAAAATTTTTTGGTATTCAATGGAATATCCAAGGTTCCAACCCAATCAGATGGATGTCTGCTGTTTATGTTGAAGTTTTTCTGGTCAAATTCTTGCACTTTCCTTAATTCATCTAATAATCCCCAAAAATGAAAAACACTATTCTGAATTGGGCTAAATTCTCAATATTTCTCAAAAAGTTTTCCCACACCTATTGAAGAAGGCTCCTTTAACCAAATGTGTGAAAGATGCTTATTATTGAATGTAAATAGGTGGCAAAAGAAAGGTTAATAGTGGTGGTTATTATACTATTATGATTTATTAGGAATGTGTAATTATGACATGAAAAACCTTGGGAGCTGTTCGTTTTAAAAATGAAATAATTTCCTCCTTCCCTCCCTTCCTGCTTCCTTTCTTCTTCCTACTTTCCTTCTTTCCTTCCTTTTTTTTCCCTTTCCTTCCTCCCTTGTATAGGGGTGACTGAATGGGACTCTCTTGAATTGTTCATCTTCTTTTTAGCTAATATTCTATTAATCTCCAAAAAGATCAGCTTGAGTCTGGGAAAGGGCACTTCTCAGAACTTAAAGCCACCATACGTAAAGCATCATCTTTGTTAGATGGTTTAGATTTAAAACAATGCAGGTGTTATACACTGTACTAAAATGAATGTAAAAGCATGTACACTGAGTAGAAAATGTTGAAAAGAGGAAAATAACACAAAGTCGATTAACAGTGATTTGAGAATAGAAGTAGCCATCAAAGCATTCCACTGTTTATCCTGAAATCTATGTAATGTAAAAATGCAACAATGATAGTCTTAAACCACACACTTAGGAGGGATGAATGTTGATTTAATTGATTCATTTGGATCGATGTTTTTAAAGTTTCACACCACTGATCTTTTGTGTAGTGATGTCTTTAGCAGTGAGTGGTCTGATATGAGCCTCCTCAGATTTCATCAGTGGGACTCTCCATGACATCTGAAATTATGCAATAGTCTGTAGAATGGTATCTCTGATTGGGAGATCCCAATGTCAAAGAACAAGATTAGATGTGAAGAACTCTTGTTAATTTCTGGCACAAAAGCCTTAGAGGAATACAAATCATAAAGAACCATAAAGATGTAAATTTCCAAATATTACATAGTTGGTGTTAAATGCTAGATGGGAGAAAATAAGTCCCCTTTTTGCACCAGCAAAGTTGAGCAGTCACACTTTAACCAGTATACCTTCCACCCAATGTAAATCACTTTAAAAGAGAAATTTTAACTTAATCTAGATTTTTCTGGGTCCAAATCTATAAAGGTTTTGTGTCTTTTTCTTTCCATGATCTTTCTGAATTTTCTTAGGGAATTTCATTGGGATTCATGGAAAACAGTAAAGCTGCACTGTATTTTGCATCCCACTGTAATACCACAAGGAACTTGAAAAGATAACTATTAACACACACATATGCACACATACATTCACTAGTCATAAGTATATCTTTAGAGGTTACATATTGTGCACCTTCAATAAGGAGCTAGGTAAGATACTTGCAAAATAACCAAAACAAAACAGAAACCATGGCACCATTGTATCACCAACAACCATTTTCACTTTTCTGTCCAATTTCAGATTGCGTGTGTTTGTGAGTATTTCACTAGATCAGTGACAGCTCTTTATTTGCATAATTATATGCTCTGGTCTGAAGAGAAAACTAACCCCCAAATTTCATGGGTCACCAAACTGTGACAATCAATGTTTTATCACGTATGCTAAGCAAAATCTAAGAAGCTATATGAAGTTTCTTGGGGAGTTTTTACTCCTCAGAAAATTTAAGAGTTTTCCTCTTTTGAATAGATCCAAAATCTTTCCAAGCTCTTTGTAACTGAATTCTGTTTGAAGGCAAAACCAGAGATTAACATGTAGATTTGGATCTTAGAGCCACTAGCATCACTTCAAAGTGGCTTAAGAAGCACAGCAATGCACTACTGAAATTTTACATTTTAAATACTGTACTTCATATCCACAGAGGAAAAATTACTTTTGAAAATATGGGTAAGCAAAAAGTCATCACAAGGTAGTTACAACTGAACCTAAAGTTTCATTCTTTATTTTAAATGGAGAAGAATTGGAGGAGTTGGAGGGGGTATTTAATTGCCCTATCATCACATAGATCCTTGTGTGTATGTGGCATATCTTTGTCTATTCGTGTTGCTATCTGTGGACACATACCCATATGTGTGCATATTATAACAAATGCATGCATTTTTATGGATATACATTGTCAACTTATAGATAAACAATTTTTTAGTAATGAGATTTTTGACAGTACAATAATTCCATGCTCCATCATTTTCAATTTACCAAAAATATATTGTTAACAGAGTACCAAAAAAAGTCCCTTCGCTTCATAGATACCTTTAAAGTTTCTGTTTATAGAAAATGAGAGAGTGTGTGTGCAATTGACTTTGTTTCATTTTTAAAGAAAGCTATTTTAACTACTGATATTTTTATTTGTAGGCGATCTGCCAATTTTGTATTACAATAGCCAATGTATAAAGGCTCACACAAAGGGTGACTATTTTTTTATGTTAGTGAAATCCTAGAAGATACGCATTTACTTCTGGTCTTTAGAGAATTCACTTTTTCTTTCATAATGCATGTATCACGTCTTCCAAAAAGAATTTGTATGTGAATTTCATTTAGCAACATTGTTGTATTGCCTTTTGCTTCAAATAGTATGGCATCCTAATTTTTCATCAATAATTTATTCATCAACCAATGACAAATTGAGAAGACATTTTGAAGTTGTGTACTTAAGTGTTTCGGTCTCTATATGAAGATGAAAGAACTTTGGATAAAGGATCCGAAATTCCCTAGACCACCCCTATTATTTTAGAGAAGGCAGCCGCATAAGGGAGAAAAAGCACTCACTGGTGCTTGTAGTTAAGATGACCCCACTACCTGTTTGACTTTAGGTGAGTCACTCTCTCTGAGCCTCAGTTTACTCTTGGGGATAATACTTGCACAGAGCTGTTGAGAGAAACCATTTGTGCACCTTAAAGTGCTATGGGATTGTCAGCTCTTATTAAGTTAAAAAGGGGGGGGGCGAAGAAAAAAGGTATTGATCTCTTTCAAACTGACCAAAGTTTTTGTTCAAAGAAAACTTAGAACTGTCTTTTCTCCAGTTCTGAAAATGTTAAGCCCCTGCTTTTTACAACC